GCAGGAATGATGATGGTGATTGTTATAGTGGTGGTGACAATAGTTCAATAATGGTATTTGTGGCGTGCATAGATAGTGTCTGTAGCAATAATTTCCCATTTGAAAAACATTCCATTAGAGATATAAAACCATTTATGTGCTTTCATCTATATGCTTAAGGGTCTGTTTGTTTTATTTTGCTAACTCCATTTGCATGATTTCTCCACTCCCATCGAAACACATTCCAATGCTCTAATTTGTCAAAGTAAATTCTTTTTCACTTCGGCCGTGACTCTGATCCTGAATACAAACATGCTCTTATATGTAAGCAAGGATTTCAAATTTGTTGTGATCTGTTTTTATGATTGTAATGATGGAAGTTTGGTACTTTACTTTGTTGTTTTGATTCATATCTTGACATGGTTTATCCCTTTATATTTTGTGCTGCAGATTGCTAGGATTATCCTATTCATGTTCTTTTTTATCCACATGTGGACCCATTTTGATGAGGCAAGCAGTTTCTGTGATTCCTCATCACATATAACTTCACAGTTCCCCCTTTGATTGTCATCTAAGAAATAATTCCCAACTTTTTGTTCTCTAATTTCAGGTCAAGGAGGTCTACCCATTGGGTTTTTACAGCTTGCTTGCGGTGCCTCCTGTGTTGACAATGATGAATGTGTTCTGGTTCTGGAAGATTGCCAAGGGTTTGGTTAAAACTATTTCAAAAGCAAAACATAGCAAGTGAGCCTACTAAATGGCCATTGAATTTATTCAATACAGTTGTGATTAACATTTTTATTTTTCATTTACCATACTTGCAATATTAAGTATAATTTTATGCTGTATATTTGGCATTAGGCAATAGCATATTTTTTTCAGTGATTACATGTATTATATGAATCATCACATTCTAAAGATCAGCAGGAGCTAAAACCACAATGCTATATCTGTCATTACATAGTTCAAACATTCTGTAAGATCTTTCTTATCTTCTCATTTACTCTTATGACTTTGCATTGAATATAGCTCAAGCTTCAATTTCATTCCTATAATGTTTATCAACAAACATGACATGACGATGTGATAAGGCCATTACATCAGCTTAACACTGAGCGCCTTAAAAAAAATTGTTTCTTGTTGAGAAGCCTAATACCAGTTGCATTTCCAAGTGTTTGACCTACTTTGAGAAATCAATTAAATCTTGTTAGTTTGGAAGGTTAAATATCTGAAGTAGTTGGCATTTCCCAAACCCAACTTGCAATGAAATTTAAGCATTATTGATGATCAAGACGACAATTTTGACTCAAACTCTGACATGACTTCTTGAGTGAGACTCCGGTCGTTTTTAATTGGTGATATTTTAGTAAAATTTTAGTTTTTATTTAACACATTTTTAAATTTCAAGATAATATTAATTATATTTTTATCAATTATATCTTTATAGTTCATTTAATTTTTAATTAGTTTACACATTGTATTTATTGTGGAGTAAAAATGAAAGAAGATAAAATAGAAAACATTAAAATTATTTTATATTTTATCCGTTTAAAAAATAAGTTTCTAAATAATTATGTCAACATTTTAATGTAGTATTAATTATTTTTATTTATATTTCCAATATTTTTCAAACAGTATTGTGTTAAATCTGGTAAAGAAGATTAATTATGAAGTTAATTTCGTAAAACTATTTTTTTCATCTATTTATTAAATGTTTTTGGCATGTATAAAATAACCCTGTAAAATACGGCACTTAAGGGAGTAGAAAACAATAAATTTTCTTTGAATATGTTTTGGTTTGTGTAAAAAAATTTTAAACAACTATTGAAAAATGAGCAGAAATAGTAGTATTTTAACACTTATATATTCGATATTTCATCAATAATTATTTTTTTTATCGTATCATATTTTATATCCGTACTGTAGGTGTTGAATATTATTTTGGTCCTCACCATTTTTTCTTTGGTTCACAAATATTTGTTTTATTAGTAAAAGAAAGCATTAGAATCAAAATCCGACGTGTAGCCAAGAAAGCAGCAGCCAGCAATATGGTATAGAAATCTTAGCATTATGAACCCTCGATTTGCTTTCCGACCAAAATCAATATCTTTTGTATTTGTTTCACATGTCAAGCTGACAACTTTTTAGGGTCCACAAATTAAAATGTGTAAAAGCATTTTATAGAGATAGGTTCATGATAATTATTTGTGTAATTCTATCCATGCATGTTCTAAAGTTTTTTTAAAATACACATAATAAATAAAATAAAGGCTTATGAGTGTAATTTTGACGTATTGTCGATGTAAATATTTTCTATACAATTAATTAATTAGAAAACATCCTTTATATGATTTTTAAATTAACTATTACAAAGTCAACAATTTTTCTATATGTTACAATTTGTAATTGAATGAGATTGTAAAAAAGCTTTTGTACTGTCAGGAAATTTTATTTATTTATTTTAACATTTTATAGACAACTTAATTAAATCTTAATTCTAATCTTATCGTCTTTGTAATTATGATAAAAGAAATAATTGAGTTCTAATTAAAAATAACAGAATAAACAAGTCTAACCAAAATATAATTGAATTAAGTAAGCTCATTTGGAGGGGACCCCACAAAATTATATATAAAAAAACCTGAGTTTTTTTTTGTTTTTTTGGTAAAGATAGAAAAATTTATAAAGATGGTCATAACGAGAATTGAACCTAGGTCCTCATATTTCTAACTATCCCAACCTCCCTTCACTCAATCACTAGGCTAACCCTAGTAGTCTTAAAAAAACCTGAGCTTTTAGTCTATAAAAGTAGTCTGGTTTAAATCTAATTCTCAAACAGAATTATAAACGGTTGTTTGAGAATAAAAACAATTGAAAGAATATCACAAATACAAGCTTAGATAAGTCATTAATTTGAGTAGTACTGTGTTCGATTCTCTAAAAAAGTTCTTGAGTTTGTATATTTTTTTATGAAAAAAAAAATAACGCGATTGATATATATACTAGATATTGTATACATTGAGGACCATTCCATCCCGAAAATTTGAGCCATTGTTGAAAAAAGATAGTGTGTTGGGCCAATGAGGACCATTCCTTCCCTAAAAGATGGATCCACTGAATTCAAAGTTTAATTAATTTCTTGCACATTATTCTGTGGATGTTGAGACACCTTGGAATTTGTGGATCTCCTTCAGTTGAACTCTCCTACTAATCTGACTCTGTTCAGGCAATTTCAATGAAATTTTACATAATTTTGAGAACTGTTTCAGAAGGGGTAGATGAAGCAGTGAACATTCAAATGGGAACATGAACAGATTATTGCTACGTAAAATTCAAAACTGATTCAATAATTCATGTTGGTTGAAGGAAATGAAAAGAGTGAGTGACTCTCATCCAACATTAATGAGGTTCCATGACCCCGTTAATATTCTTCTCAACTACTGATTTTTCATTTAAATCATTTCTTTATAAAATATTGCTATTAAATGATTAATAAAGTTTGATAGGTACATATTACAATATTTTATCATGTTGTGTAAATGTTAAATATGCAATTTTATCCTGAATATATTGGTACTCTTTAGTTATAACGATTTTATTAATAGCACGCTTTAAAGACCTTTAAATATCAACATTATTATTGAAAAAAAAAAATAGAGTTGATATTAATGACATGCTACCTTGATACTACTAGATAGGATGCTAGACTACATAGAAAATTATCGCATAGATTCAAACTATAAATACAACAATTTTAAATTTGAACCCACATTCATAAAGAAAATGAGAATCCATGCTAAATCTATAATTACTTGTATCAACAACGACGGCAAAATAAAAAATTCTTGCTGAAAAATTATTATTTCATAACCATTTTTTTTATATCAAATATTCAATTTGGTCCTTGAGTGGTTGATATTTCTTGTAATATTTGAATTTTTAAATTTTAACTCTCTTATGCAAGCTAGTCATTTTGTTATATTCAATTATTAACTGTTAGTTTTTTAAACAGTCAACAATTAAGTTTCGGGCTAACATCTACTCTTTTTGTTAAGTCAAAAGATGATCCCTTAAACTTAGAATTTTAATGCTAACAAATATTTTTATATAGAAGAAATGTATGCGAAAATATCTTTAAAACATATATTTGAAAAACTTATCAAATGAAGTGTAAGACGTAGATTATTTATAAGATAATTGTTAATTAGACGAAACATACTGTGTGTCTTATATACATTAAATATGTATTATTATTTATTGAGACTAATAACAAAGTTTGTTTTGAATGTTTCATTTCTTATCAGATCAAAACAAAAGACTGTCTTGGAACTCACAAATTTGTTAAAGAGAAGAATCATGCTTTTTGTCAAAATCAAATCCCTAAAATCATAGAGAAAAATAAGTAAAGTCACTACTATAGCTGCTTTGTGCTTACATTACTTCTACAAACTCCGTTTGGTATGTAAAGTTAATAAATAACCTCCTTAATCATATAAGAGGTACTATTTGATGGTGAAATGCATTTAATTCTTGCATTAAATGTGCCAAATGGTTATATGTTACCAAAAGAGAAGACGATGAAGACAAACAAAACAATCTTATGAGTTAAACTCAAAATGTTGTAACGATCATCTTTCCCGAACTACTATATCAAAAGATCAAAGTACAAGAAATAAAGAGATACTAATTAGTTGTATAACATCTAAGTGAGACGACACAACATTTGAGTAACCTTTATAACCACTGTTATAAGATTGAGCCTGGAGAGCTTGTTCGTAAAAGAATACTTAGTTGGAGAGGCTTGTTGTTAAAAGAATACTTGGATAGTTGCTTAAGAGGTAAGTCAAAGAATACTTAGGGTTAAACTAGAAGTGACTTATTAAAAGAATACTTGTATCTTTATTTAAAGATAGTGAAACTCAATTTAGTTAGATTGAGAATTGGATATAGTCTCGATGGCTGATGCAAACCAATATAAAAATACCAGTGTTCCATCTGTTTGCTCTTCTTACTTCATCTAACTAGCATTACTACCGTAGGAAACGTGCAAGTTTTTAATATGCATTATTTTAAATGTGTTTGGTTATAAGTGCTATAGTTAAAATAAAAGGTTGTTGTTGAGTTTCATAAGATTTTCTATAGTTCAATTTGTTTGTCTCAATCATCTTTAATTTTTTCGTCGATTTTGATTACAAGCTTAGAATTGTAAATCCTAAATTATTGAAATTGAGGTTCAGCAAAATGAGTGAATTTGTTATATTTAATGAATTGCAAAACTCCTATAATAGATGCAGAGAAGAGCATAGTGGTAATTGTCCTCTTTATTATTATGATAGATTACAAAAATGGTAATAATGAAAACCAAATCTAAGTCCTCGTACTTATATTATTTGAACTCCTTTTTTCTAACCATTAAACTAATTTTAGTTGTATATTGTTGCTTGTAACAAGAGTAGAGAAAATATTATATTATTTTTGTTGGAGAATATATGTAATTTATTAAAAAATTTATAGCTATATTTTTAGTCTTCCAAATTTAAAAAATATTTTTCTCAAATTTAAAACTCATATTTTTAACCTTAAAATATAATTTATTATTATTTCAGTCCTTAAAATTGTTTTTTTTTATAAATTAAAAATAAAATCCTATTTTATTCTATCAAAATTACTAATAACATAATTAACTGTGATAATTATGTAATATTAATTAATTTAATATATATTTTCACTAATAAAAGATATTAGCAGAAGAAACATATGCGATGCGACAGAATAATAACAAGGGACCAAATTCAGTGAAAAAAAAGACTAACATATATATATATATTTTTTCCAATAAAATTACATAAACTAAAAATACAAATTTTAAAAGTGAGAATTGAGAAACTTCTCCAAATTTGAAAGGATATGAAGGTACATAAAACAAAAATCCATTACTGGTTTGGAAAAAAGACGTTGCCCGCAATGTAAAAGAAAACGTAAAGGCATATCATATGACACAACTCAACTGAGTGTATATGGTGCGCACTGTCAACTGTCAATGCCAATTCCTCCGCGGGGCCCACACAAATCTCAAACACCAAAGCTCCCCTAATACCTATCGCCGTTAAAACCTTTGATGACAACAACGTCGGAACACACGACCAAGTAACGGAATTGTTCTGGCTCGCAACTCCGTCAACTTCTACATTCGCCTCCTATGAACCTTTCCTCTTTCTCTTTCATCATTTTTTTTAAGGTAAATGTTTTCTATTAAACCAAATGCACACACAAAGATTCTTTTCTTCTTTTTTTTTTTTTTTCCCTAATATTTTGTTACATTAAACTATTCAATCATGTTCCTTTTACAGAAGTTGCTGCTTTTGAGCACCGATTTCAGTGACCAATAACGGGTTTTGAATGTTTCAGATGAGAGGGTTTTGGATCTCTATGATTTTCAGCTTTTCTGGGCAGTGTTGATTTTCGGTGATACAGTTTTTTTTTTTTCTTTTTTTTTTCGCAAAGTTTCGATTTTTTTTATCTGGGTTTTTGGAAAATGTGGGGTAGGTGGTGGTGGGGTGGCGGTGGCGGTTTTTTGAGGCAAAGGGTATCTGCAGTTGTTAATGTTAGTCACGGGTATGGGGAAAAGCTTCATCCTTTGGATCCTCCTTTGCTGAAGGGTGTTGTTGAAGTGATGTGTGGTGGAAGAAGGGTTGGAGGGGTGACAGTGACACCTTTATCTGTTGTGATGAACCATTTCAAGAGGGGTATGACAACTTCCACTGGAGATGGTAATGGGATTGGAACAGACGATTCTATATCATTCTCTGAAGCCAAGAAGCTTATGAGGTTGGTGAATGTGGAGTCACTCAAGGTGAAGCTTGGTATGGAAGGGAAGGAAGTTATTTGTTACTCTGAGCTTCTTGAGGCATGTGAGAACATGGGAATTGCACGGAATCCCGCGGAGGCTGCAGCGTTTGCCAAGGTTCTTGATGAGGCTGGGGTTGTTCTCCTCTTCAGGGATAAAGTGTATTTGCATCCTGATAAGGTGAGGTTTTGTATTTGAATTGTTTACGTTTATGCTGGCGTAAGAACTTAATTTATGCTTGTGGGGCTCACGAAAAGTATGACTGGATCTAAGTATATTACAGTATATTACTTGCCGCAGTTGCTTGAGATGTCAATTAGTGCCTCTTTTACTGCTTTTTACTGTGCGGGTCCTCCCTGAGCCATGTGTTGTACTTGTATTTCTCTTTAAACATATAGGGAAATGTTGATTGGTAGGATTATTTATGGATTTGTAAAGAAAAAGTTTGGATGGGTTGTGACTTTTTGTAGCATCACCCTTTTGAGTTATAATCCTGTAGCCTGTTGGAGACTCTTGTGGTTTTGCTTGTGAGTCTTCAGTTTATCTTGCATTATTGCATATACACTTTAGCACACTCCATATTCAACCTGAAATAATTTCATGAATTGCCCTTTGGTTTAACACCGTGGTGGATGGGAGTCATTTCTTTTCTTCTATCAATTAATGATCCGGATTTGAATTTTCTTACTTTCATGCTTTGTGCCCTTTTCTCTTTCACTGTAATCGAAAGAAGTAGAGCTGATCAAGTCTTGGTACTGCTACAGGTTTTTTCTGAGCTAGAAAGGAGAACAAAGTGAATTTAGAAACTGAGAACTTTAGCTGTCAACACCTCTGTAGCTCCAATTTATTTCATTGCATCTCATTGACATCACCATTTTAGGCCCAATCTTTTTTTTCATTGACACATGTCATGAACTCATGATAGATATCTTCGATTGCTTGACAAATATGAAAATATGATATTTACAAACTTCCTGTGTCATCCCTGCTTGATTGCAGTCTTTACTTAACCTCAGCTTTGCTATCTATTAGCCATGTATGTTTTCAGAGAATCTTGTTTTTGGTTGTGAAATATTAACATTGTAATTTTTAAGTTCGTTAGCTGTTATATATTGCCACACATGTTTCTGTCAGTGGAGGAGAATATTAATGGTAAAAATAGACATCCCCTTCCTCTATGGAGACCTTATAATCGATTCTGCTAGTACTAGTGTGCAATATTTTAGTTTAGTCTTTTTATGTGAGGTTCTGAGACACATATCAAAGCCTACGCTTCTCTTGCCCTTTGCTAAAAATTCCAATGATTATTTACCAATAGTCTGTGTAGATTATTCATTTGAATAATTTTACTGGTTTGAGGCTAAAACATGGGCTAACGAGGCATAAATGGGAATAGTGTTCACGATGTTGTTAAGTATAGCTAATTAGTTATGTTTCAAGTGCACTGCTTGTCATGGCTTACCATGTCTCAAACCTGCTTTGATGTTGAACTGTTATTTTTGTTTGAACTGGCTACTATGCTTCAAAATAAAACCATTGCAGAACTTCGTGGTTTGACAGTAGAAAACAATATCTTTGTGGCTGCTTCAATTTTAAGATTTTACATTCAATTCTCTATGGTGTGTTTGGATGCCTACCATCTATTTGCCAGGTATCTGCCTGGTTTGGTGCAAGCTCAGTATGTTTGGATATATCTTATCTGCTGAACCAACTTTTTGTTGATGATATGAAGTTAT